CTCTCCTTGCGTCCTGACTTGGACCAGGAGGGGCTGGTTTTCCTTGGTCAGGCTTCTTCTCTAGGCCTGTTTCCTCTTCTGTCCGTGGAAATAAAAGTGGAGAGGATCGTGCTGAGTGAAATGAGTCAGAAGGAGAGGGACAGGTATAGAATGCATTCATTTGTGGGATATAAAATATATATAGTATGAGACTAATACCCAAGGTGAGGGTAAACAGGGGTGGGGAGGGCAGGGGAATGGTTGGAAGCTTGTCACAGAAGTGTGTGTGGGTGAAGGGCATGGGGAAAGGGATAGACCTGACAACCTGACCACCTTTCATTATCTGTATTGCAACTGTAAGGCCCAAGGGGAGGCAGGGAGGAGAGGGAGATGGGGGAGGGGGGAAGAGAGAGAGAGAGAGAGAGGCCTGCTATAGTGGCAGGTGGTGGGATGGGGGGGGGAAGGGAAACTGAGACCATTGGTAGTGGGAAAGTACTCTGGTGAAGGCATGGGTTTTGGAACATTATCAGACTGAAATCCAGTCATGAACAACTTTGTAAATGTGTATATCACTGTTGATTCAATTAAAAACATGAATAAAATGGCGCTCGGTGTACGGGATTGGTCCAAGAACGTGAGTTCCCACTGATCGTGACAGTGCCTGAGGCGGTGGGTTATAGCCCCTTCGGTCCCACTGTGTCAGGCTTGGTGTCCTGTGCCCCCGCCGCCTAGGAAGTGGGTTTTTTTCTGTCTTCAGGCTCTGCAGGTTCTGGTTCCGTTACAACCCTCCACTGACTGCCCGCCTCATCCCTGTTACCGAAGAGAGGTCCCAGGTGTCTAAAATCCACTCTCTCAGTTAAAGAACATCAAGAGGAGAGTCTGTTTTGTAAATAATTTGTCAGCAGCGTTTTTCACGCATGACAGAAGGACTGGAGTGGTGTTGGAAGAAGTTACTCTTCTCTGCATTCCCCTTCTCTGCCGGCCTCCGTAGGATGGACACATCCCAGATTCTGCCAGAAACTGGAATGCACGGAACAAAATGGGCTTGGTGGCAAACCAGAATGGAATTAGCTTTATAATTTCAGCAGCAGTGAATTCACGGGGTTAGAAAAAGATATTGTGGAAATTGTAATAATACGTGCTTTTAACTGCCTCCTAAAGAGTTTCAGGTGTTGTTACGTGAGTTCTCATTGAAAGATTTGAAATCTTAGAGCCAGGAATTTACACAGTTTGCAATATATTATACTAGCAAGATAGCTAATCAGTTGTACTAGATCTTTGTTCTTTTGTGGGTTTTAGTCTTGACCAGTACCTTGTACTTTTTCACTCTTGATAAAAGCTAAGAGACTCAATAGTCTCTTCTCTTTCTTCAGGATTCTCACTGGAAAAGCACAAAGGAAAATCTTGGACCAGTTTTAGCTTTTAACCAGTTTACTTATTTCCTCACTCATTATTTCTTCTGACTTTATAATATAATATGGATAAGTGGGTATTTCAGAAGCAATGCTACTGATTCCTAGAAATAAAATACTTGAATGCTATTCACTTAAAATTTAAAATGTTTGCTAGAAAAAAATTATTTTAATTCGGGAATGTATTGAGTAAAAATATTCCATCTTTAACCTAAAAGCCTTAAAATGCGAAGCATTGTATTGACTGTAAACTTTTTAGTATGAATTTACCAGACTTTTTCTTTAGAATTCTCTGCTACCCTTTACGTTTAAGTTCTGAAATTTACATTTCGCCAAGCTTCTTGAATGCGAGCGTGTCTTAATTTGCTTTATCCGTCACTGAAAATTACCATTTTAAAAAACTCATCAACTCAGTTGAGCAGTCAGACTGTGTTATTCAGTATCTTGTCTGACACGAGGACAGCAGTCCGAAGAGAAAGATGTCACAAATTGGTGCCACACTTCGAGAAAAAGAGACGTTTTATTTTTCACCAGCTAATTCAGTCCAGTTCAGTTCACTCTTTTTTCCCCCCTTAAGGACAGATGAGAACAGGCAGGCCTGAATGACTGAGTTCGTCATGTGTGTGACACGTCAGTGTGTGACTATAAAGGCGGCCCTGAGGGAGGGACTCTGCCTTTAGAGCTCAGACAATGCCCAGTGCCAGAGCCCTGCCCTCAGAGCCGCGCGGCCGCCGCGGAGTGCCAGAGCCCTCCCCGCGCACCCAGGTAGAATGGGGTGGCCGAGGCTTGATGCACGCGACCCTCCTCTCAGTGGATCATTCTTAAGCGCTTTCAGACGTGTTCCAGGTTGTCATTGAGATTCACTGTAGTTCCAGAGGCCGACACCTGTGAATAGAACATACCATTTTGTGCTTTGGATGAAAATCCCTGCCTTGATGTTTCTTACTGTCCTTGTTGCACTAAATATATCGCAAGTATTTCTGTGTCCTGGTGCAAGAATTTATTCCAGAGACAGATTCTGATGGTGGTGAGACTGCCATGCGTGATTTTCTCCTGTAAGACAGTATGATTTGTGAGAGAAGGTGGAATTGTCGGACCCTGCGCATGGCGCTGTGGCGCGGGTCTGGGTCCTTTGTGCTGTGCGTCAGGGCCCACCCTGCTGCCTTCCCTCCGGACTGCCGTGTCTTCCAGGGTCTCCGTTGTCCTGTAGTCCTGCAGGGGGCCACACGAATGCCTTTAGAGTCACGTCTCTCTGGCCTGCACGTCTTCTTGTCATTTTGAGTTCTGCCTTTTCCTTGAATTAGGACTGCCTTGACCAGTTGCTGCTTTTCTCTGTGTGGTATGAAGGTTGTGCTCCGGGAACCCGTCAGCAGCCCCTACAGGTGCAGTTCCTCCTGGTGCGAGTTCAGAACAAGGTGATGTTTGCTCTCTGGTTCAGCCAGGTGGCAGGTGTGTTAGGACTCCCTTGGTGCCCCAGTGCTCCCTGAGTTGATGTCCACGCAGGGGTTGGGGGCTAGACTGTGCTTCACAGTTAGGTCAGTATCTAGAGCCACACGCTCAGCCCCCTCCCTTCCCCCCACCAAGTTAGCCCCTGACTTGTTTCCTTCTTTTGAACATGGGCATCATATATTTCATAGAAGTCATGAAGATGACTTCGAACAGTGTCTGTCACGGACTTAAGTGCTCTGTAAAGGTTTAGTAAGTAAAATAGTTTATTGGGCGTGTTCTCTCTGCTCACCCCTTTACTTGGTGTTGAACATCTTGCACGATGTTAACTCTTGAACCTGTCACAGTGGCTTTAGACAGTAGATATTGTTGTTCTCCCGATTTTACAGATGAGAAACGTAGGCATAAATTTCAGTCTCTTTCTAGAGGGCACACAGCAGGTAGAATGAGAATCTTGGCTTTCATGCCCTAAGCCACTTCCGGGAATCAAAGACAGCCACTTCCAGGAAGATAACGGGGGGGTGAGGGGGGGGCAAAGAGGGCCATCCTATCCCGCTGGACCCTTGTGTTGACCTCCCTGGCTTGGAACCAGGGAGGATGGGTAGCGCATGTGACTGCAGCTGCTGCCATGGCACTCTGGGCTGGGCTGGGCTGGGCTGTGCTCAATGACGAAGTCACTTTTGGATTTTGTTTGGCAGCTTTCTCAATCAGTCACTCTTAAGTTAGACTTCTGAGATTGGTATCGTAAGATGGTGCAACAAGGGGAATGAAGTCAGGTGCGAGTTGTGTTGGTCTGAAATGGCACACTGCAGGTAGAAAAAAATAAACACCTCTGTCCCTCCTTCCCTATCACCCAGCCTTACCGAAATGCCACACCTGTGCCCCAGAGTTCAGCCCAAAGAGGTCAGCATTCAGTGCCAGAAGCTAGGTTGGCCAGTCTTCAGTGTTAGCAAACAACACCGGATCATGCCGGCTGGTCTCCTACAGAGTTTGTGCACCCATGGGTCATAGAGGTAGAGCTTGGGGCACATACCTGAATGATGGGGACTTCTGGAGACTGGCTGGATAGTAACCAGTGTTCAGCTTTTCACACACAGTCAAAAATTTTTAGAAAATATTTCAATTATTTGATAATGCACAGATGATGGAAAAGATACATCTTACAGTTGTATGTTGTTGGTGTTTTGTTTTCATTTTGGGTTTTGTTGGGTAGGGGCACCTCAGCCCCTGCAATGCTCAGAGACTGCTGTCAGCTCTGTGCTTGGGGGTTGCTCTTTGCAGTGCTCAGGGACCATGCCCTGCTGACCAGGGTCAGCTGCATGTAAGGCAAGCACCGTCAGAGCAGTCCTGTCACTGTGTAGTTGTGGTTTTAAACAAAAAGGTTGCTAGGATGGTGATGCTTTGTAGAGGTTCTAATGGTCGGTAATCTTAAGTGCCGGGCAAAAATTAGACATGAGTAGCAACGCTGAAATATTTACTCATCAGGTGGCTTTGAAGTTTCACTTCGTTTGGGTTGTGGCCCCCTTCTTAATGGACATAGTTCAAAGAAGAAAATGTTTCTGGTATTCAGCTGTGATGTTTTCTTACTCTGTGTTTGGAAGAAAACCGTTTCGTTTTGGTCCATTTGGGTATTCTTGAAACCACAATAATGACAAATGTGGTTCGTACAACCCTGAATTTATTCTCACTGAGAAAATAATGTTTAAAAGTAAATTTTCTAATACATAGAGAATTTTAAAAGATTACTGTAAGTCCTTTTATTCTGCATTTCTTCCAGCCTAAAAGTTTACTCAATTTTCCAGCGTTCTGTTTAGAAGGCCCAGGTGAGTTACCTGTGAAAATAAAATGAGTAACTTGTTACAAAATACAGTTTTAGAAATTCTCTCATTGCATACAATCCCTGGTATTTCAGAAACTTCACTTTTCACGGTAGAGTTCTTCAGTTCCATTTAGAACCAAAGGGTTCTTCATCAAAGTCTAACATTTGTAGATGCTTTAGAGTGTTTGGTAAGTGTGTTCTACCAGATCCCAGATTGAATTTCATCAGACTAATTTAGTACTTTAGAAATTGTTATTGCAGTGTTGGTTAAAAATGTCTTTCTATTTCCTCCCACATGGACTGTCATACCCTTGAGACGTTTATGTTTATCTTTTATTTCTCAGTTTTCATGTGAATCCAGCAAGTAGTGAAGACCTCAGGAAAATTCCGGTGAGTCGCCTGTGGGGGCCGGAGAAATACCAGAGACAGGTCGCAGCCGCCAGCCTGTCCTGGGCGTGTTTCCGACCAACCCTGTCTCCTTCAGTGCTGGGGATTAGAGTTTATGGTGATCCCCTGGGGAGACGAGGCAAAGAAAGGTTTGAACTTGGGTTTTATTTAATCTGCCCGCGGTGTTCCTGCCTTGTGATCTAGTGAAGTTGCAGCCAATGTCATTGTAACCGAAGCCAGTCTAGGTTGCATGCACATCGCAGGCTGTTTTCAAGTTTAATATGCAAGCTGTAAGTCAAGGTCAGTTTTAGACTTACGGAATAAGAGCACACGGAAAAACGGACCGTTCTATTGTCATGAAGTAAAAGTAAACCCGCGGTTCCCATTCGACAGAGGAACGGCAGCCCTGGCACACTATTTGGAAGAGCCTTGAGAACATGGCCCTGTCCGGGCACAACGCAGGCCACTGCATCGGCGGGGTTGCTAATCACAGCCGAATTAAGTCACATATTCTATGACATTATTCAGGTATCTTTGTTGTATGAGTTAAAAGTTCAGCTTTGGGTCTCGGTTCAGTGTGTTATTGCTGGTGTAGACTAGATATATTAAGCCTTAGAAAATCAGTTGTTTTAGAAAAATATGGGCACATGTTCTTGGTAGAAAACTAAATTCTCACTGAATAACAGAAATAGAGCCTTTATTCCAAGAGGCTGATGGTTGCTGTTTGAACCATCTGTCCTTAATGTGTGCGATCCAGATGTATAATAAGAATTTTTTTTAAGCAGTAACATAGCAGTTTTCTGTGATGTGATATGCCTAAGAAGAAACCATGGTGAAGTGTAAACCATTCTAAATGCAGTTATTTGTCTTTAAAATTGTAGAAAACATTTTAGAAGTGGAGGATTTTTTTTCCATGTTTTTACTGTTTTATGTAAATGATTTGTAAGTTTTGATGTTTCATAAATGCTCAAATCTTTATAATGTGGCAGTCTGGTGAGATATGTCAGAATATATGAAGTTAGCCTTTGATCAGATAATAAAATGAATTCTGTCAGGCGGTTACTTAATCTCAAACAAAATGCAACATCAAAAAATCGATTTAATGTGCAGCTATTGTTTGTTAAGTAACCTTAATTACAATTTCTCTGTGCTTGTAAATGTACTTTTCCAAATCTTGTAATTTATTGCTATAAAAGCATCCTTAGAATTCTTTAAAGAAATAAAATGTGAAAATTGTTTTAGTTAAAGGATTTAAAGGTGATAAAAGAATCCTTGATGTGTGATTATTTTTCTCCGGAATACTAACTATTCTAAATGACAGTTAAAGGATTACTAGGTGTTGTTAATTTACTTCAAGATACAATTAAGAGGAGAAAGCTCATCCTCATACTGATCGTTATTGAGGGAAAGTATTTGAACAATTTTTATGTTGAAGATTATAAGATGTTTGAAGTAATTTACATTAAGTTCTCCAATAATAGCAATCCACCGAGTTATTTTTTTCCCCTTCTGGACATAGTATTTTATAATTAAGTTTGTATGTCTTATATGCTAGTGCCAACACCTGTCGGTGAAAGCGCTGTGTTTAAACAGGAGCAGTAGCCAGTTGAAAGGGCAGTGTGAGCTCTTTAAAGCCTAATTAAGAACTGAAAGGGAGATGAAGGGAGGAGGACAAAAGATGTGAAAGTAGCTGAGATGATATTCCCAGAGCAAAGTTCCTCATTAGAACAATAATGAGATGATCAGAGAATGCCAAGCCTTCATCTTATCTCTCTCTCTCTCCTCTCGCTGCCTTGGATGTCATTTTGGACCCCACCAATATTTGGTTACCAGGACAACCTTTCTTTAAATCTTCAGTTATTTTGAGTCCCGATAATTTGCTTTTGTTTAAATTTAAATATTGTAAAAAAAAAAAAAAAAGACCATACATTTTCTGGTTTAAAAGGCTAGACTATGTGTAAAGTAAAAATAGTTCACTAATAATTCTCCAAGTCTTTTGCTGGACTAGGTATTTGAAATTCGCAGTAGAAAACTCCAGATAATAATCCTGTTACTCTTTCACCCAATCCCCCATCTTCTTAATCTGCATATGAAAAATTTTAGCAGAGATTGGATAAGAATGAAAAAGGATTGGTTGAGAAGAGGGAAAAGAAAACATTCCTACATTATTTCAGTCTAAGAGGATATCTTCAAAACGTATGTGCTGTTCCGGTGTGCTTCAGGAGACGGAGGAAGGCTTAGGTTCCCGGTGTAGGTCATGAGAATCTTCATCAGGCCGGAGAGCTCTTAATTTTAGAAGTCCTTCCCGAAATAACATCAATAGTGTCTTTTGAAAAATTAATTTTATATTTGAGTTTTTTTATATTCTTATATTTTCAGTTTATATGTTCAAATTTTATATTTGAATTTTGTAGTAGAAAAATATTTTGTTACCTATTAGTAAATATTTTTATTATATCATTAAATATTTTATTTTTATTGTATCAACAGAAGGTGTGCATATATACATATACATACATAGAGTATCAGTTACTTTAAGCATTTTTATGCTTAAAAATTGAAAGGTTTACAGTGATTTTCAAATATGGGATAAAATCTGGAACTGAACATAAAACTTCAATTATTTTATATTTTTAAAGTATTGTTTGTAGTACATGTGTTTCTAATATGTTTTCCTGCCTAGAAAGTTGATGCAGAAATTTGGGGTAAAGTTTTCACATAAAAGGACAAGTGGAAAATGTATCGAGAAAGTCAGAACAGTGTTTCCAGGAAATCTCTATGTACAGTGTTTGATGGTTGGGACGACTCGAAACAGGCCACGTGAGGAACTGTGTCTGTTCTGACTGTGGCTCTAGCGTGTTGAACTAGAGTGGCCCAGGATAAGAAATAGGAATTAAAGAAATTAGATTTTGGATTGGTTTATATCATGACACTAGTTATATCAGTATAGAATTTTCTGACATGTTTTTCATCCACCAAATTAAGAAAATGTTTAAAAAATAACTTTAAGCTATATGTTATGTGGTAAAAATGTGTAGTGTTTGCTACAGCAGTATAAATTATTTTCTAACTGTGTAGTATCAATTAGTTTGGAGAAATCAGTTCATATATGTATAATTTGAGTTAAACTGAAAGACTCACAGATACTATTATGTTAAATTTTTTAAAGAAACCTGTAAAACAGTCAAGTAATCAGTTATGAATCTCATTTGTTTAATTTTATTAATCCCTGCAATTCCCACGTGAGCCCCTGTTTTTCAGTAAATGCTTCCTTAGACACATGAGTTGGGCATTAATATTTTTTAAAAATGCAGCTCAGAAAAGTCGCTTTGCAGCCCAGACATTTTAAAGAGAACTTCTTGTTAATCAGAAAAGGAAAGAAAGGTCCAGATTGGTTTCTTTTTCAATCTGCAGAATTATTTAGTTTACAATGAAAAATATTTGCTTATGTTTAGTAAATTTTAAACAAAATTATCTTTGTAGTGTGCCGTATCATTTCTTTTCTTTTCCCTTAATAGTGTCTGTATACAAATTTATCCCTGTGGTCCAGGGCTGGAGATTAGGGTCATGGGTCATAGTGTCAGTGTCGCAGCCGCCTTCCAGGGCCAGGGTCTGCCTGGGTGGGGTGGGCACTGAATTTGACACAGCCTCAGTATAGTGTGCTTTATCTTTCCTAAGGAAGCCTATTTTAATAGAATAAATACTTTCTAAAGATGTGATTAGAAAATTCTAATGTCTGTGTCTATAAACTCACCAACTAAATATCCCAGTAAATATGAGAGCCTTATCAAATGTTGATCTCAGAGAGGAGAATAAAATATAAACTGACGCATTTCCAGAATTGCCTTTTTACTTGTTGCACAGAAAGATTTGGGATGGTTTTAGAGCATGAAGTTGCATCTCTTCCCAGTTTCTGATAAGTTGTTTCAGCCTTAGAGAACTTCAGCATCTTTGTCCATCCTGTTAAATCCTGAAGACTGCTATTAACTCAATTATTAACTCAGGATTTCAATGTTCGATATTTTATCATTGATCTTAGTCCCTTAAAATGATCTTGCCCACAACTGCCATTTTCGTTTTCCAAGAACATACCTTTAATCACTCCTTTCCTCTGATTAGAAACCTTGAATGATTTCCTAGTCCCACAGCAATTAGTCTAAGTGTCCTTAATAGCACTCATCATCCTTGATGATCTCTTTGGAACCTGCCACTTCAGCCTCTCTCTGCTCCTTCCCTGAGCCCTATTTCCCAGTCACCCTTCACTAACTGGAGGTTACTGACCACCGGGCCTCAACTCTCCTTTCCGCCTTGGAACAAACTGAGCCTTCTGCATGCGCACCTCTGCCTGTTGAATTTCTTCAACAGGCAGAGGTGCACAAACTGTCTTCCCACTAAACCTGAGAGGTCCTGTGCATTAGAGGTTTCTCAGTCTTGATGTTCTTCTTTGCTGCTGGAGAGAGTGTGCCCAAGCATTGGACCCCAGGCCTTCACTTGGTATTTGTACTTCAGTGTCTGCAAAATTGGGTACCTAGGGGAGCGGATAAAAAGTTAAACTTCTGGGGTCATAGTGATAGTACACTGGGTAAGGCGTTTGCCTTGCATGCAGCTCACCCCCCTGTACTGTTCCCTGAGTCCTAAGAGGAGATCAGGAGTAAGACCTAAGTGCTTCTTGGGTATGTGCCACCCCCTCAGGTCCCCCCCCCCTAAAAAAAAAACTAACTTCTACTTTACTGACAAAAACTCTTGCACATAGCAAATTAAAGCAGATCCTGAACCTGAGTAAGGTCAAATGTATTTCCCATTTGAAAAATAAGAAAAGGCCTTTCTGCCTTCACTAGTTCCCATTCCTTACTTTCAGTGATCACCAGGAATACTAGATATGAGTACCAGGAGTCCTTCAGAAAGACGTATTTCCTCAGTGTTGAGCTCAGTTTCCTTAATCTAAGTGGTGGTGTTTTCAAAATAAAGTGATGAAAGCATTTTAGGTTCTGGAGTTTAATTGGCAGTATTGTGGTTATTAAAGTTATCTTCTAATTTTACACTGTGAAAAATACAACTGTTAAATGCTATATACTTCATGTCTTTTCCATTAAATTCCCAAGAAATAGTCAACATTTGAGTGGTAGAATATTTTATAATATAAATGAATTTAACCAATGCCTTCCCCCCCCTTTTTTTTAAATACTTTTGTGTAAAAAGGATATTTACCAGCCAATAAAATTTTTAAAAAAATAAAACAGGAGAGATGATACAAATATACTAATCACGAGTGTTAAAATGTTCATAGTTAAATTCTGAGATTCCTGGTAACCAAGGTGAAAAGGGAAATAAGAAAGCATATAGGTATTTGTACTAGCAGGAGGAAATAGGCAAGAGAGAAAAATCTGTTTGCTTCTAATTTAAAACAGAAGTGACTCCATAGGGGTCTCTTACAAGGATACTCACTGATTTCATTCTGAATGCCTTCAACATTTCATAGCAAATTGGAGAAGCAGATTGGATATTGCTTCTGTTTATAACCATCTTCAATAAAAAGCCAGAGGCATAAAGTTAAAACACAGTTTAATGGAAGCAGTTGCATGAAGACTAAACTAATGTCCAGATGTGTCTTTTTCCACAGCTGCTTAGAGTTCCTCCACATTCATTCTTACAAAGACCTTCAATATTTATGTATTTCAGTTGTATTTATCATACAACATTTTTATCTCTTATTCTTACGAGCAGTTTCCTATATTAGGACCTCACCTCCACTATAAAAATTAAGAAAAATGATTTCCGCAGATTGTAGACTTAACAATCAAAACTCCCATCTATTTTTCATTCTAGAAAAATGGGCACCCAAGGAACTGGACAACTTCGTCCTTGCCTCAGCCCTTCTGGGAGTTAGCCATTAATTCTAGCCAAGAGCAAGGAAATATTTGATTGGGGTTTGAAAAGACCCAAATTGGAGTTTTGAAAAAAAAAAAAAGCAATGATTCATTTTCCCCTGATGTGCTGTCTGCTAAAGTGACGGTCTTGATTCTGTTGTAGGATAGCAACCCTTTTGACGCCACTGCAGGCTACCGCAGTCTGACCTACGAGGAGGTGTTGCAGGAGCTAGTGAAACACAAAGAGCTCCTGAGAAGGAAGGACACCCACATCCGGGAGCTGGAAGACTACATTGACAACCTCCTTGTGAGGGTGATGGAAGAGACGCCCAGTATTCTCCGAGTGCCATACGAGCCGTCCAGGAAAGCTGGCAAATTCGCCAACAGTTAATAACCATTTGTACTTCTAATTGGGGGAAGAAAGAGGAGGAGGGGGAGAGAAGAAGGCGTTCCTGAGAGAACACTATCAAGTTTCATTCCGTACTCCCGTAAATTGTGAAATTTTGATTTTCTTGTAAATATTAGCAAGGACTCTTCATTTAAACGTTTCAGCTGAAAACTGGGCCAGCTTCTCAATGACTGAGAAGCTCTTTAGGATTCACTTAGGTGATGGTGCCAGTCCGATAACCTGCCATAAGCCTAGAAGTAGCTTCAGAAGTCTGTGGTATATTTCTCAGGAACAGATTTCTCATAAAGCAGAAATGATTCTGTGGCTGGTTTCTGAGAAGTCAATCTGTACACTAAGTTAGAGACAGGAATACTGATCACAAACACTACTAAAAGCATTGATATTTTATATATAGGTATACATGGACATAAGTTCATGTATCATTGGATATAAGATACATGCATATACCTCACAAACACACATGTATTTTTAGAACATTCAGAAACAACTGGTTGCCTCTGAAATGATGGTACCAATTTTCTAAACTGAAAATGCGAGTGTGCTCTGACGATGCAAAATGAATCATGATTGCTACTCTAGAGTTTACTCAAGATAAGCTGCTTCAAATCGCCCTGGTCTAGGTGAATGTTGGTTTTAAAACGAGCCACTTTTATTCCAGCATCATTTTTTCCCCAAAAGTCACAATTTCCAAAGTCCTTCTTAAAGGTTGACTTTATTTTAGGAAACTTCCTTAAACCTCTCAACAGCATGCATTTCTTGAATTTTTTTTTTACCTTAACATTTTGTTTAAGATATAAGCAGAAGATAAGCTAATGCAGTTTGTTTTGTTGAGCTTCTGCATGCCTTTAAATCACTAGCAAAGAATGTATTAGGAAGTTGTAGCTGAAGGTAATTTGGTGATGGAGGTCCTGGGGGGCGGGGTGGGGAAGTAGGTGATTGTCTGAGGCCTGATAACTCAAAGCCTTGGGCAGATTCTAGGAATGAAGAATTAGGCTTGGTTTCAAGTTACATAAATAATAGAACAGATGGTTGCATTTGGGTTTTGAATCAAAATAAGAGACACTAGAGGAGGGATATGAGTGTTTAAAACAGACCTTGGCTGGCGTGACGTTATTCACAGTTCTACACATACCCTTCAAGGTTCCATGCATTTATCGCAAAGCCATTAGTTGACTTTCTGAGTCTGCTGCCGAAAATGTTGATCATTTCTAAGAGTTACTTAAGATACTTGTATAAAATTTGCAGTTTAAAATGTTATCTTTTACTTATTTTACATCTAAAACACTGTGAAACTCTTATTTCTGTTTTCTGAGTTTAAAATGTAAACCTGTATATAGAGACTTGTATTCCCGCTTGGATGAGTTACATTTCTGTCTAATATTTGTCTCTGCTAAACACCATTGGTATTTCAGTGTAGCAGATACAATACTGTTCCCTTCAGTGTGTTAAATCAGTTACTACTTGACCAAGCTTGTATTCATAAGCTAAAATCCCATTTTTTTGTACTTTTGCGTGTCTATAGTTTTCCTAAGAAAACCTTTTGGAGTTCTGAAAATTTTTCCCTAGTAAAACAATTTTTAATTGAATAAGAATAATAAATAATAATAGCTCTTGCCAACTTTTCTCTCACTTAGAAATTTCTGTTGTAAATAGTAAAGCCTAGTATAGAACCTTATTTTCACAATTAAGATCTTGATAACTTAGTAACTTATTTTCTGGCCTGGTATTTAACTTTTTAAATAGCATTTACTAAATATTAAAAAATTGTAGCACTTTTTTTTTCTGCTGTTACATAATTGGTACTACTTACACTTTAAAAAAATACCCAGATCCATATGTTTCAGTATTATGACCGTTATCTACATATATTTTCTTATGCTTTGGTCAAATTTGTTCTTTATAGAATAAACCAAGATGTCACTTTTATATTGGGGTCTGTTTTATGTAAATAGAACTCTTAAAATATATGGTTCAAGTCCTGCTATCCTTTTCATGAGGAATTTATTTTTAAGGAGATAGTCTTTGCCTGTGAAATACTATTGAGGAGTAGATACCCATCTATCAGTGATTTGACTTTAATTTTTATCTTTATATTTGGGACTCAGAATTGTGTTGAAAATTAATCTGCTTTTATCACTGCCTGAAAATGTCCTGATGTTTATAAATTTTACTTATGACCTAGAGTAAAGCTAACTATATTTTTACAATTGGTCCATCTAATAGACCATAAACAAACCATAAAAATGAGTTCCCAAGTGATCAGTGTTTTGGGGGTTGGGCAGTGATGCAGAGTAGTTCTAGTCTAGTATTATAAATGAAAAAGTTACAAAGATCACTTTAATTTATTTTTCAAAAATGGAACTGTTGTGTTTTAGTGGCAGATTTTGTTAGTAGCTTAGAAGTAGAAATAAAATATGTGTACTTATTTAATGATTCTGATACCTAGGCTTATAAACAAATTTTACTTCATTTTCATGTTCGGAAATATTTCTACCAATAAAAGGGGAAAATTTTAAGAAAATGATTTTAAGAAAAATCATAGAATTCATAGTTACCTCAAAAGTGTCTTAAATTCTCTTAAACTAACCCCTCTTAATTAAAATGTTTCTGTTATTTTAAAAAGTGTTGTCTTACAGCTTAGTTCCCCTTTTGATCCTAAAATTCACTCTTGTAAGTATTAACACGCTGTCCTACCACTTCTAACTCCATTGAATAACAGTCTTTTCTTAGAATTGTGCATAAAATAATGTCACCCACTTGTGAGAAAGGTTCAAGTATTGCTTTGTGCTGCTGTATTCTGCATAAGACTGGTTGTGTCATCCTCCTGTGAACATAGTATTACCCACATAACTACACCCAATGCTTCTGGCAGTAAGTGAAGACTTGATTGTAGTTTTCCAGCTGTGAAAATGTTGCCTTGTATTTAAAAGGGTCCCGTGAGTGGAAACCTCGGCTCATTAGTGACAGACTGGCTTTCCTCATATCCTTCCGTCATCAGATCCGCCACCCTCACAAATCGGAGCCCGCCAGCCCGCCGGGGGGCCGATTCTTTAGCCAGGATCATCTTCAGAGAAAAGGAACTGCTGTCTCATGTATCTAGGGATTGTTACACGCTGGCTTTTATTTTCCCCCGTAGGTTTTTTAGGAAAAGCAGTCTGCCTTGGATTTATCAACCAAGGGAAGACTTTTTGATGTCCTTGTACACATGTGTCTTAGAGCCGTGGTAGGTGTCACTGTGTGTGGGAGTGAAGTAGAAAGCATGCTTATTCACTCGGTCTCTTTGAAGTCAGATGAGGGTCGCAGAGCCGGGTGGGTTCACTTTGGTAGAGGGGAAGGTCTGTCAGTGCACATGGAAAGCTCCTGTTTTCACAGATTTATAACTCTAAAAATCAGATGCAATCATTGGAAGTATTTAATATGCAATAGATAGCACCTTAACTAATTACACTGCAGATGAAGGGTTTTCTGGTGTATTTAATAAGAAGTGCGGAAGCTCTTCAAGCATTCAACAAGAATTGACATTTTTTCCCTTTCTTTTCTATGTCAGAAAATCCACTCTTGAAATGGAATTGAAGTCTGTAACAAATGATAACACTGGGCCTGGTGTATCTTTGATGCATCCTGGTGGTGTGTGTATTTTGAGGTACAAAAAAATGCTGCAGACCTTGAAATGTATGTATTTAGCAAGTATTTGATACAGGCATTATTTATAACTGAAGAGTATTATACTTTGGAAGTAAAATACTCTGGTAACATGTATATATTGTTGCAGGTACAAACTCAGAAGTATGTGTAAGTTTTGCATAATGTGACATTGTGTAATCTATGTACTGCTGCATGAATCAGAATTTTTATATGAGTATTGATTTGTTATAGTTGATTAAAGTGTTTAATCATACTTACTTGTCATGATTTCTTCCTTCAGGTGAAGCACATGCATTCATACATGAGTTCTTGTCTTTGCATAAATACTTGCAATGCCTTTCATTTGTGTACCACAGAAAGCATCTTTAGGGCCCGCAAACTCACTTTGCCATGAAAATTGTTCCATAAGTTTCTTCAGAACGTGCAAATGCACCAGACATATTTTCTCATTGAGGTCTGTGCGGAGGACTTTGCGTTTACACATTGCTTTTCTTACTCCTCACAACCAGCCTGGTCGGTACAGGTGGCGCCAGTTTTCAGAAGAAACTTTAGGCAACTGATGAAACAACTCTGAAACTCACAGAGGGGGAGCACGCAGGCTGGGCTGGGCAGAGCAGATAACACAGCTCACGGAGACATCACCAGTCTGCATTGAGTGGGCTAGGGCTTCCCTGTGCTGCCCAGTACTCACAGGCAAAGGGGGGATTGGGGCGAGGCAGGGTGTGTGGGGGTTGGGGGGACAGTGTGATCCTCTAGGTTAGCCTGATTTATAGAGCATCATCTCAGACATAGCCTGTGTATCCATTTGGAACAAAGGATTTAGCCAGAAAACGCCTTTCAAGTTTGTTCAAGGCTCCACTCAGCCTGTCCCTATACTTAATAACGGTAGCTTGTTCCCCTTTCCATTTCAAATGTGAAGATCTATTTGCTTTCCTTCGACAAAGGTATTGGGAGTAAAAATTTGATGAAAGTGGCCACTTTTCGCATGGGTTTTGCTTTATGTAGTAGCTGTTTCAGAAACGCTTCTGTTCACTTTTTCTGAGTCATGGACTTGAGACCAGGATGTCCGGCCTCCTGTATATTTCCACAGATAATTTTATGTGATCACACAAATACGTTTTTGCTTCTTTGAGAGTGCTCAGAGTTCACAGGTATGAGCAATACATGTGTAAGACAGAGGTTCTCAAACTTCTGTGGCCTTCTGCCCCCTTTTTAGAACAGATCACCTGGTGCCTCCTAGCTGCACCTAAGGCTCCTAGTTGTACACCCTCGCCTCTCTGGGTCTTAGCACAGCCTCTTCCCCTTTTATCCCCATTGCCCAGTATTACCTCTTTTAGGAAAGACTGGCCTCATTGACAGGAACCAGGAGTGTTGGATTCTACTGTACACTTTTCTGAATTTTGATCCTTAGGGTACTTACTTTTCTTCATTTCTTATGCACACGCAGTAGCTGGGCTTTATACTGGGAAGATGGAGGTCAGATTTCCCTGGTTTCAAGTCCAGGTGCCTGACATAAAAGATGGTCTGGTTTACAACTAATGTTAGTGCCAAAGTTTGCTTTTATTGTTTTTTTTTTAACAAATTACAAATTACTGATACCAAGAGGCCAGATTCTATTGTGCTTTGTTGAGTGATAGGTTTGTGAGTGCAAAATGACTGCAGATTTTTTGCAGTTCCTAATATTGTGGTTACAGCTTTAGTGCAGGGATCACAAACTCAAACTTCCAGAGCTAAGTCAGCGTGGTGGAGAATAGACAGGCCGGGTGTAGATAGAAGGCCTTCCTGGGGATAGTGAGGATCGTGTCTCATCATTCACTCATTCTCCCTGACCCTCAGCTCCAGCTTATTGTCCCAATAGAGGAATGAATGTAGTACCACGGTTGCTGAATTTTATCTTCCAGGAAATACTGAAAAACACAAATTTTTCCACAAAGTATATTTTCCAATTAAGCAATTAAAAACTGAGGTTCACCAATTCGCAATCTGAATCCCCATTTCTCATGTCTTCATCATTGACTTCATCACCCTCAAGCTAAGAACAATCCAGAGTGTGGTAGTTAACTTTCCTCTCACAAATGATCCTGTGTTTAATTAAAAGTTGAATGATTGATTGGCCTGTGGAGTGTGTCAGAATTTCAGCTCCAGACTATCTTGGGGGTGATAAGGGTGGAAGGATATGAATTTATAGAATAAAGTTTTAGATTTGCAAGATGAGTTAAGTTTTAGGGATCTGTTGTTTACGATTGTATCTGTAGACAGTCATACTCCTGTGCCCGCACAAATTGGTTAAGGGAGTAGATCTCATGTTCTGTATTTCTTACTGTGGTTAGGGAAGGTCCAGTGTGCCTGGTCCTGCACCTGACCGCTTCTAGAAGCAATAGTGTAGAAACCCCACGACAGTGAGGATGGCCACAACTCTACAACTCTTCAGAATGTTCAGGATTCATTATCTGCCCCTTCCAGCGGAAAGGTATGGCTTTTCGAATTACTGATGAGAATCTTGCCTTTGGGGAAAGAAATGGACAAAAACCATTAATGTCTCAAAGATCAGCTTGGACCATAATATTTTGCTTTGTTAAGATTAGCATATAGTTCACAATTTCCAGCAACGAAAAGGTAAGGTATCTTTATGGTAAACCACATTCCCGGTTCTCATGTGATTTTGTCTCAGGACATGTATCTCAATTAAAACATAATAATTTTTAAAAACCCACATAATAGCCATTCGTTCCATTTTGCTCACTAGCTGTTTAAAGCTCTATGATACTTTTGGTTTTTCAGTTTGTTTTTGGGTAACTTTGTAGTGCTCAGGGCTTAACTCCTGGCTCTGCCCCTGGAATCTCTCCTGGAAGAGCTTGAAGGACAATATGGAATACCAGGGATCAAACCTAAGTAAGGCAAGTGCCCTGCCTGCCCTTGGGTACCATTTTGACCAGCCACCTTAGGAAAGGAAGGTGGCATGACTCACTGCTCAGACCCTGTCCCAGACCCACGGAAGCCCAAAAAGTAGGGAGAGGACCCAGAAAGCCTTTCAACCAAAACCTCCAAATTCAGGAGCATAACAACTTGCCTGTCAAGGAGGCAGGTAGGGAATGGGAGGCAACCTGGAGACATTGGTACAGGGAAGTTGACACCAGTGGACTGGTGTTGGAACATTGCCTGAAATTCTACTGTGAACAGCTTTGAAAATCACAATGCTCTAAGGAGAAAAAATGCATACACGAAAGTGCAATCATATGTTTCAAATATTTTTTATGTATTAATATATACATTATTTCAGGGCTAGAGCAATGGTACAGTGGGTAGAGTGCTTGCCTTGCATGTGGCTAACCCAGGTTCATCCCTGTCACCCCACATGGTCCCCAGAGTTCCACCAGGAGTGATCGTTGAGTGCAGAGCCAGGAGTAAACCCTGATCACCTCCAGGTGTGTCCACCCCATATATAGATAGGTAAAGGTAAAGGCCCTCCCGTTGATCGTCGATTTGCTCGAGCGGGCCCAGTAACGTCTCCATTGGAGACTTTGTTGTTACTGTGTCTGGCATATCGAATACTCTCGGTAGCTTGCCGGGCTCTCCGAGAGGGGCGAAGGAATCGAACTCGGGTCGGCCATGTTGGCCGCGTGTAAGGCGAACGCCCTACCCGCTGTGCTATCGCTCCAGCCCAATATATAGATAGATACAGACATATTTATAGATACATATATATATATAGCATTATTTGACATTTGAAAACAATACTACCATAAATATTGGTATTTATGGGTAAATATTGGGCTGGAGCGATAGCACAGCGGTAGTGCGTTTGCCTTGCACGCAGCCAACATGGTCGACCCGAGTTCAATTCCTCCGCCCCCCTTGGAGAGCCCGGCAAGCTAACGAGAGTATCTCGCCCACACAGCAGAGGGATTGGGGTGTGGATGAGTCTTGGGCCTTTCTGCAGGGTGGGCTCTTGGTCCATCCCTATCCGGGAAGGCTCCAGAGTTCTCAGCTCTGAGAGAGGCCTGCCTGAGATGATTCAGTGGCTTAGTGTCTCTTTGAGATTAATCCTTAAGAATTGTATTTTATAATGTGTAAATTATATCTTAAATTTTGCCTGAAAATAAAGTTTATTTTTAAAAGTGACCAAAAAAAAAGAATAAGTATTTCCCTTAACTTAATTTTTCCCTTACCTTGATGAAGTTTTGAACATCTTAAAAAATAACAAGAACTCCATATAATTCCTTGCCCGTCTGTTTTTGTTTTTTATGAACCTTTTTTATTATGTAGGAGTACTGCTATTTATTCAGCGACTGATTAGCTGATTGAATTGGTCATGAATTCCACCTTTTTTTCATTTTTTATAATTTTATTTATTGAATCACCATGAGAGCAGTTACAAAGCTTTCAGGTTTAAGTCTCGGTCATACCTTCATACCCATACCTTCACCAGTGCCCATTCTCCACCCCCCAAAACCCCAGTATACCCCCATCCCACACCCTCCCCCTACCTGTGGGGCAGATGATTTCCACATTACTCTCTCTCTACTTTGATTACATTCAGTATTTTGACACCAGACCAACCATTATTATTTGGGATTTTACCCCAACACTCACATCTGCTGAAAAGGCAACAGTAGACAATTTGTTTTCTATTGCTGGTTATGAATAACATATGATGTTGCGTGGCTGCAGCGTTGGCCGCGCAATTTTGAAATTCCAAAATTTTAAGAGTTAAATCTGGAGGGATTTCTGCCAAAACCTGCTGGGTTCCGAGATTTGTTCCTGAGTCTCTTGGATGATGGCCATTAAGCAGCTAGATCAGGAGCCAGAAAAGCCGTTCGTGGGTGGCAACTCGGTATCGTTGGGACGGGGAGGAAAGGGTTGGCTCCACACCCATCCCATGAGGCCCCATGTGTGTCATCACTGAGGGCCCAAACCTGACTGTCCACTAGCCTCTGGAGGATGGCAGCCACTCGGCCGCTAAGGGGAACAGGCCAAGGCATGAAACCTATTCCCACCTGGGGTGACCCAGCGCCTGTAACAAATTTCTGCCAAAAGCCGTTGGGTCTTGAGATTTGTTTCTGAGTCTCTGGGATCATGGCCGTTAAGCGGTTTGATCAGGAACCAGAGAAGCCATGCCTCCAATTATATAGCTGATCCAGAGGTGGTTTGTAGGTGTGTCTCCCACATACCTAACTTTTGACCATTTACTTTCTTGGTAAACTTTGCCCCAAGTTTTTGGGGTCTGGCCAAAGGCACAGCAGCAATTTTGGG